GAAAAAACTACAGATTACATATTACCCTAAATGACCCCTGATGTGTTTTTTTTTTCTACTTTGGTCTTGCTGTTAACCCATTTCTTTGTTGAGTCTACTTTAGTGATCCTAAAATGTTATGCAAAACCTGATATAAATTTTGAAGTTTTCACCAAGATGGTGAGGTCTGTACTTTAAGTGAAACAACCTCAGTGTTCAATGTTTCAAAAAAAAAAAAAAAATCCTACAAGTACGTGAGTATTTGCTATGGAATAGTTATGCCAAGTGTGGTGGGAGTCATGCAGTAGTATTTTATGGTCTCCTATCTGAAAGCATCTACAGTTTAGTTGAGACAGGACTCATAGTGCCCATATGAAAACCCAGTTCCCATGGACAACAATCAGCAGATCACAGCAAAGTGCAGACAGGGTGTCAGCGCTAATTCAGACAATACCAAAGGCAAAAAGGTGTGTCTCTTGTAGTAAAGATCAGTGACAGCTGGATAGGAGGACCTGAAGATGAGCAGGATTTAAGTGGTTACAGGAAAAGAAGCAATCTGTTTCAGGCAAGAAAGGAAAAAAAATAACAATATGGCAAATACTTGAGACACAGGCATATATTTGCAACCAGGGAGATCCAGGATAGCTTATAGAGAACCCTGAAAATGAGGCAGAGGAGTGACTGTGTACCAAGGGCAGCAAGACGTCACAGGAGTTTCTGTTTTTGTTTCTAATGGTAACTCCCTTGACCATATGTATTAGGCTTTATGTGAAAGGGATTAATGCAGCAGTGGTATGCAGGGCGGATGTAGGGAGAGTGGAGATTGGACCCCAGCTCCATCAGGGCCTCTTACTGAAGGGGGATGAGGTGAGGAGAGCCTGGTCTGGGGTGGTGGAAGTGGGGAGGGAAGTCAGGGGTCAGGACATCATTTCGAGAAAAACGCACCCAGCAGTACCTGAGGAGTGGGCTAGGATGGGGTGAATTCTAGTTTCCAGCATTACTGACAACTGAGGGGAAACCGGCTTCCTGAGTTAGGGGTGAGGAGGGGGCGTATGTGGGCTTGGGCTGGTGTTGGGCACCAAGTGCTGGAGACGCAGCAGGTAGAGCAGGCCAGTGGGTCACGTGAGACCCGAGACAGCGGGACTGCAGATGGCTGTGGGAAGATGGCTGTGGGAGATCTGTGGGCCCCCAGGGCGAGAGAGGAGCAGAGAGCCCTGGAGGCGGGCAAGCTCAGGGGAAGGAGAGAAGGAGGGGGCAAAGAGAAAGGAAGCATCTTATTTTCCTTGATGCATGTATGTATGCACGCATATGTTTTACTGGATGCATGTATGTATGTGTGCCTGCTTTATACTGGATGCATGTACGTATGCAAACATGGGTTTCACTGGATGCATGTATGTATGCGTGCATGCATGTATTTATGTGGCCTCTCGAGTTACGTGCACAGGCTTGAATCCAAGGACTAGATAATACCTTTTGACGAATGAAAGAGAATACTGTTCAAATTCTGTAAAATTTCAGATAGTTATTTCTTCTAAAAAGGAACTATTTTAAAGGGCAGGTTCATAGCAAATTGAGATGGGGTAACCAGTGGGTAGAAGGCAATCATCAGAAGGTAGGAAAGAAGAGGCCCCTGGTGGTGCTCTGAGCAGGAAGACAGCCGTGGGGCAAACAGTGGGTGCCATACTGGGAGCCAGGAGGGTAGAGACGGGGGGTGAGGAGGGGTGGAGGGGTGGGGGGCGTGGAGCAGCGGAGGCACCTTCCAGGAGGAGCATCTGGGAAGCTGAGACCTGAAGGCTGAGGAATGTGAGCCAGAGAAAGCCAGGGGGCTTGAATTCAAAACACACCTACCTTTGTGTCCATCTGTATGTTTCTGACCACTGTTTCTGGACATTCTTGTAATATATCATCAACATCTCATTTGAGAGAATCTATATTTCTGAATCTTACTTAGTAGACACGCAACACTCAGAAGTCTCAGGAGCCCTTATGTTATGAAGTGTGTACTATTTTGTTCACATAACTGCTCACACACTCAACTTACCAGCAGGGGCTTCACCTACAATTACATTTCCTCTGAAGTTTCAAATTCCAGTCCACTCACTCTGTAGACCACTCACTCCTCGACCGCGGCCTCTAAATATTCACCTGGAATCCTCTGCCCACCCCTTGCCTGCCCCCTAACACCCCCACCCCTCCCAGCAACCTCCTGTCCTTCCTCCTCGTTTCCTTTGCCCTCCTCTCCCTGTTCCCGATCTTCCACCCCAACAACCCCAGACCTCAGGTCCCTCCTGTCTTCTCTGCTTGACACCACCCGCAGGCTGCTGGAGATGGGGACGGTGTTGCTACGAATGGCAGTATCTAGCTGTGGGCAGAGGGCTTCGTGCTGTGTGACCAGCCTCCGCTGGTCCTAGACCTTTTCCCTCTCCTGCGCCCTCATCGGCCATGCTCAGTCTTCCCCTCTTCTGTGGCCTGTGGCCCTCACTGTTAGCTGATGGCTTCACCTCCTGCCTCAGGAAAAGGAGAAGACATCACAGGCATTGTCCCTTCTCATCCCCACGTGTGCCTCCTCTTCAGGGGTCCCCAGGCTGGCCCACCTTCTCCAGTCCCTCTCTAAAGCACACTGACTGTCAGGGAGACACAAGTGAGGCACTTATTTAGGGCACAAAACGTAAAAGTGGTAAAAGTATAACTCTAAACTAATGATGCTCTTTCAGTAAGTCAGTTTTTAAAAAGCCTCAGTACTTAAACCTTTTACATTTAAAGTTGTGTTACTTATAGTCCCATGAGAGACAGTTTTGGGGGCCTGTCCAGGCATAACTCAAAGGAAAGACACAGAACATTTTCTATCCATCTTTATGTAGAATTTTGTTCTACATTCCAAGTATTTCTTTCTGGCTTATTCTCATCATCTAGTCCCCATTAAACAGAGCTAGTACCAATCCTCAAGAGCCAAACTGCCATGTTAAAAGAAATTGGGCTTAGCCCTGAATTTACTAGAGAGGTTATAATTTGATCTTCATACATTTTTCTTATTTAAATTAGTTCCAGTCATTGGTGATGAATATCACAACTGGTTACTGTTTAGTACTAATTGCCTCTTCTATTTGCTCAAAAAAGAAGGAAACAACCGAAAATTTGAATTTACAACTCAGATTTTAAGTGTGAAAAATTAAATATTTCCCTAGTTGGTATTATTTTTCTTTAATTCATATTTGAATGTCTCCAATACAAAGCTGGTAAAAAAGGAAAAATTCCACCCAATAACTGCCTTTAGGTGTTTTTGTGGCTGTGACTTTAGCTCTGAAAATTTAGCTCAAGTCATGGGCAAAGACTAGAAGGCATTGGGAGTTGTTATGCCTTCACAAACAATACATTTATAGAGTTAGTTCTTGATTCAGTGTTAGCCAAAGACTTTAAATTCCAACTTAGCAAGCATGGATGTGGGATAGAGGGGAAAAGTTAGTTATAAAACCTATAGTGTGACTCTAGTAACAAGCTCCCCACCTATATAAACTAAATTATATGTTTCTTCATAAGTTAAACATGGGTGTAGATTTCTGTTTCCTGCTCATGGGAAAAATAAAGACAAGGAAATATCAAATGAACAAACAAGTAAAGACAGGCCCTAAATAAAGACAGGCCCTAAGGAAACTGATGATGATGGACTAGAGAGTATTACTATATTTCAGATGAGTTATATAAAAAGTCACTAAAAATTCCCAGCAACAGAATTTGAAACAAACAAAAAAGCAGCAATACAAAGTAGGTCTCAGCGAGGTCACACATTTGCTTTTCTAAGCTTTCTAAGTTTGGTCCTCTGTATTCATTCCTGAGGCATAGTCGTTTATATTGATAGGGCTGCTTGCTCTTTTAAATACAATTCTTGTCAGTTTTGGTTTTGCCTAGTTAAGAACAAACTTCTCCTTTTGTCCACTCTAGCTGGCATGGGAGTGTTTACTGTGTTCTTGGTGCTGTTCTGACTGCTTTGCATCTAGAGAAATGCACAGCAGCCTACGAGGGAGAGAGGATCACCATGTATCGCAGAAGAAACTAAGGCACCCAGACATAGGGTTAACCATGTAAACTCTGAAGTTCCAGACCCCACGGAAGCTGAGAAGCAGCTGATGGGTCCCAGGTCCTGTCCCTGAGCTCTGCACCTGCCTTCCTCCCTGGCCCTGCACAGCTGCTTTTCCTGGAGTTCCCTTTTGGATGGGAGGGCAGGGAAGTGAGCAGGGCAGGGCTAAGAGAATCTACTCAAGAAGGCAAAAATCTGTTTTCACTTAAGTTTCAAGTCATTCACATTTTAATACCACTTGCATTTTGTCAAAGCTTGTTCCCACTCTCTTTGTAACCTACCCCTTACTTAACCTTCCATCTCAGTTTTCCCTACTTCCTTTTCTTGGTCACAGTAGCATAAGAAGGTAGACAAAAGTGACCTCGTGAGTTTGTGTCCCTTGGGTACCTAAAGTCATTCCTCCACAAAGAAGACTGGGGGATTTAAGGGTGGAGACACAAAGTGGCAGAAGAGGGTTCAAAATAGGTAAGAAGGATGGAAGGAGATGAGAGTAAAAAGTCTAGGACTCAGAAAAGATGTTTCAAGCAAGAATTTGATGAATAAGTATTGGATGGAATGAAAGGTACAGCTAAGGTAAAATTAGGATATGAAAGATAGTGATTTACAAATAGGGTGACAATATATCCCGATAGAAACCTGTTATGTAAGCTAGACATACAAGCTTCTTGTCCAATGGTAGTTCACATGTCCCATTCTAGCATTTGAACAGAAATAGCATTATCTGAAAACAGCATTTGATTAAGGGTTTACAGACTACAAAAAATAATAGTGTAAAATATAAGAAGTGTATATAATATTTATGTTTCAGTCTATCCACATTTATTATAATAAGTTAACTATCATTTATTAAACACCTACCTATTCCAGGCATTATGCTGAGCAGCCCTGAAAGTAGGTAATGCCTACATTTAATTAACTCAATGAATATTAGTTTACAACATACGGTGTAGTAGGCCACAGGCAGGATGCAGAGAAAGCTTCACAGATGTGTCCAGTGTAGACTGCCTAACGGAGTAAGCAAATGTTCCGATGCAGTCTGGAATCTGGACCTGATCGAAGAACAAGGGTGGAAAAACCAAGAGTTTTAGAACGTGAACGAAAGTAGACTTATATTCAGTTGCTTTCATTTACTGATGGTTCTCTCTAAACCATGTACCACACAGTCTTTTCCAAGGATCATTTGAGACCATGTATTTGACAAAGTAAAGTCCAAATCAGGTGTCCAATATGTGCTAATTTCCTTTCTCTAGAAATTGTTCATGCATCTGTACCATGATGGTTTAGTTAGTAGATGACTCGTATTCTTTAGGGGTTATTTTCCTTTTAAAATCTGATAAAAGTTTTTCAAAGATACTGATCTGATTGCTAAAGGCCACTTAACACATCCCAAATACTGTTGCTACTGTGAATAGAAGTATCATTACTAATTGGCTGAACATGCCTTTCCATTATCTTTGACAGGAAAGAACAATATGGTTCCCACAAGCACTTAAAACATCTCCACAAAGATGACACAGCCAAAAGATTATAAGGCCCTGTAAATTATGGAGAAGGAAACCTGAGTCAGCTTTTTAACTTACTTTGCCTAGAGCACTATCAAAAAGTTGTAGAAAAAGTTGTAGGAAAAGGAATAAATAGATAAAATATGAAATCTTACGTAGATCTTAAGTTGTGTAATAGTATTTTGAACTTGGACTTTTGGGAGCTTATTGCCTGCAGACAGAGTAGAACATTCCTTCCTGTAGGAAATTGGATTCTAGGGTTAAAGCTGTCACTATAGAATATAAATCTTAAAAATAAGCTACAGAGGAAAGCCAGCCCTTGAATTTCCAGCATTAAAATGTAAAAAAATCACTTCTGTTTATTCAGAAGGTTACATCTCACCTGATCAAGTTTCTTATCTTTCAGTATGAAGATTCTTATACCTCCTACCTATATGCATACTGTAAGGAAAATATTCTGGATTTGCACTGTTCTGGCTAAATCTTTGCTGGCAAAGATTCTATGTCAAATGGAAAAGCTGTTGTAATAATTTGCTGTGCCTCAATTTTGGAACATAGACACAATATATGCAGCTCTTCACAAGATTACTCTAACAATGGAATAAAATAATGACTATGCAAATACTCCAAGAATGGCATAAAGTGCTACAAAATGCAAAGCTTAGATCAATTCAACTGAGTATTTACAAAATTCCAAAAAGCTAGGATACATTTTGTTACTATGCGAAGAGACCATTTTCTTCTGAATTTCTTCTTTCTACCGCATCTTATGTTCTATTATGTAGATTATAGAGCAGTTGGCCCTCAGAAAGAACTTTTGCGTTGACAATTTGAAAGTCACCAAGTGCAATGATTCTTGCCAAAGTGACCCATTTTAAAAGATGACCCATTTAAAACCCATGAGTTTTTATTCAAGCTGTTCTATATTTAAGAATTAGAAAGTTATTTCACTTTCCTATAATCTCCTTATCTGAATCAGTCTTTTATAAAAGGGGAATTTGATCTCCATTTGAATGAAATATAATATGACGTTTTTACTTGCTACAGCCTGCAGTTGGTTTTGAAAATTATTCCCTACCTTTTGAGGTTTTGGGGGGGCTTGTTTGTTTGTTTGTTTGTTTGTGGGCAAGGCATGTATGTGTAATATCATCTATGCCTCCTAATCATCCCTCATGTCTCATTCCTTAGAATCAGCTTCTCTGATCGTTAGCTTGAACTTTCCCTGTCATAACACACATCCCCATCAGAAGGTGAGGACAGAGGTGAGTTAAAGGGAGTCAGCCTCGGCCTTAGCCTCCCATGCTCAGTAAATACTCATGGAGGGTGCCCGTGGGAGCCAGGGAAAGGAGAGTGAGAAGAAGCCAGAGAGAGAAGGGTCATTTTAAGTATATAATGTAAACATTTCAGGTATTGAATTTATCTTGCTTTAATATAATAAAGAGTTGACCAAATAAAGCAGTCCCTCCCCCATAACAAGATATAAAATCTATCATAAGTTTCTTTTGAGAAAGTTGAAACCTCAGCTATCAATCACCAGTCTCGATTTCGGAAAGTTCAGAAAGGGATCTGTTCAATGCTACCCCTGAACTCGACTACCTTTGAGCATCCTTTTCTGGGTCAGTTTTAGTTTCTCACATCCCTCTCCCTTCCCTTCCCCCATAGGGACCAGGCAAAGTTCCCAAAATAAAGGCACAGAGGAACAAAGCCAATTCTAATGGATGTACTTTCATTAGAGAATTACCCCAGATATCAACTACAAGCCACCACCAGCTACTGTGCAGTTACAACATCGGTGTCTCTTTAACATGTCCCATAACCTATGATAACCAACACTGGATGAGAAAAAAATACAGTCTGCGTAGTTAGAATCGGAAAAGTTGCTACTTTGACCTTTATCGTATCTGAGTAAGCAACTGGCTGTCACTTCGGGTTTAACACTAAAATTCGGCAGTCAAAAAAGAGTGGCAAAGACTTACCGGTAGCAAGAGGTCTTCTTTCCCAATTTCCTCTGCCTGCCCACTTCCTTGTCTTTCTTGTCTTCCTAGCCAGTAACTCGCTGAAAGTTTCCGCAGTCTGGCGATTTTCTAATTCCCAACCCGAGGCTGGCTTTCTACCCGAATTCACCCCTGCAGCCTAGGGGTGGTAGCACGGTTGGAGGACCCCAGCCGGAATCCGGGGACCGCAGGGCGCTGCATTCGCCTGCCGGCTCCCGCGCCCCGACCCGCCTCGGTATTCCCGGTGCGGTGACCGCCTTGCCCGAGCTCCCTGGGGAGGAGGGACCGGCCGGGCCCCGGGAGACTTAACCGCAACTGGAGCTCCGGGGCCCCCAACCTACCTGCCGCACCCGGGCGGCCCTTGGCCCGGGGTGTCGGCTGGCGGGCGCGGGCGCCCGCCAGCCAGGGCGAACAAAGGCGCTCCGGAGAGGGAACGCGCCCTCCCCTTCCCCACCGCGCTGGCGGGCGGCGGGCCACCCTGCCCCGTGGCGGTTAGGGCCTCCGGAGGCTGGGCCGCGCGCAGTCCCGGCCAGAGCTGCGGGCCGAGGCCCGGGTGTCTGCTCCAGCCGTGCGCCCCAGCCCCAGAGCGCATTCCAACCTGAAGTCCTGGGGCCACCCGTGCGAACCGGCGGCGCCTTCCCCTCCCCGCGGCTCTCTCACCTCCCCGCGCTTCGGAGACCGCTCTTGGTCCTGAGAGACCACCGGAGAGTCCGAGTTTCCGTTCCCGTAGCCCGGGAGCTGCTCCGGTGAGGAGTCGCGGCGCGGCGGGGCCGCGGCGCCGGGCAGGGGCGGGGCGGAGGCTGGGCGGCCCGCAGCCCTCTCTGCGGACCGCGGGAGCCGGCCTCCCGGTCCCGGCACAAAGAACCAACCATCCGGGGAGCTGAGATGCGTCCCCGCCAAGCGCGCTAGAACTTCCCCCGTTTAGTGATCCGGAAGAGAAGACAACATTTCCACCCACAGGGGCCCTCGGCCCCCGTTAGAATGCGGTGGGCTGCACAGCATTTTTTTTTTTAATCGCACATATTAGTTCCATATGAAACAACTGGACTCAATACACTTTTCACTAGGAAGTAGAGTTCGGTAGACTCCTGATCCATCCGTGCAGAACACGCAACAGTTCTACATCTACGGTGGGTAAGTTTTGACTGAGTTCTCTGTTCATGGTATTTTCCTGGCTAGAACAAGAGTTTCAAGGGAGGCTAGTCTTTTAAAAGATCTCGTCTGGCCACTTATGCCTTGAACTTCTAGGGCCTAAATCACAAAGGAAGAAAACTCCAATTTACATCAAACTAAAGCTCCACTCCAGCCCTTCGTTTTAAAAATATAGTTGGGAAGGGATCACCCCGCCCCCCCAGTGATTTTACCTTCAAGCGCGACTCACATTCAAAGAGAGCTTCAAACAAAACTCACCAAGTCCAAGCAAGGCTCTTTAAACCCTCAAATCGGAGGTCGGCTCACTTCCTGGCATCGGAGCCAAAGTCGGTGGTCTCAGAAACAAATCTTGACGGCTTTAAATATGGGGCGAGGACTGGACTCCGCTACCTTCCCGGGAGGGTGCGGGCTGGAGCCGGGAGATTCGGGAGGACCCAATCAGGGGCTCCCGGCGGAGGGCGGGGGCGCGGCAGCCCCGAGTCTCCCCCGAGGCGGTGTCCGAGCGCGTTTCCTCCACCTTTTTAGTGTCACTGACACAGCGGAGCCTGGCCTCCGCCTCTCCCACCAACGCCGCATGTTGGTGAAGGTGATGGGTCCCGCCCAAATCTGTTCCCGTTGGTGTGCAACAGCTCCAGGAAGTGCCCAACCCCCATCCTCAGTTAATTGCGATCATTTACTCAGATGATGGACTGTGAATCAGAATCCTCGGGAATGCCCCCTTTGAATAGTTTCTCCCCTCTCAAAATACTCAATGCATGTAACTAGACAAAATCAGGAGAATATAAATTTCTAATAAGGAAAGAGATTATTAAGTTTGGGTTTGGTTTCCTGCCCCCCAAATGTTCTGGCCTCCTCCTAATAGAACAAACGTTATCATTTAACAGGTAATATTTTGAATGATTTCCTAATTGTACATATTTCAGAACGTGACAGAAAACAAAAGATTAACCCAAATACTTCCGTAAAATAAAACCTTTAGATTTTTTTTATTGTAAGAGGAATAAATCCGGTAATGGGTTAAAATTACTGAAGCAGAGTTTGAAAGTGTAAACACAACATTGTATATTTGAGACTAGATTTTTAGGAAGTTTTATAATTGCTGTCCTTAAGCCTTCAACCATGCAATTCTTTTCATATATTACCTATATAGAGAGCATGGCTCGGCACTGCTAAGAGCATAGTGCCATATGCATGTCAGACCCCACACAGAAATATTAATACAGTGTGATTTGTAAGAGAGTCACTGACAGTGATCCATACATAAGCTGATTCGCTGTTATTACAATGCAAATCGCCTCCCTTCTTTGTCTACGGGAAATAAAACCCTGACTGTGTTCCACATACAATCTCTCCCCGCCCCCAGCTATCATATGTGTATGTTTTATTTATGTGCAAATGTTCAATTACCATTATATACTTTTCAGGTCATTTGGAACCAGATCCACATACATATGTGTCAACACATGTGTTCCACGTGTTGAAATGCAAACTGACTCAAACATTGAAAAACACATATAAAAATCATATATATCATCCTATTTACAGATGGACACCCCGGACAGATTATTTCAAAAGTGAGTAGGAGGTTAGTAAGAGGATGTGTGGCTTGAGGTGGGGGCAGGGGAGAGGATGTGGATGAGAGATGGGGCTCACCAGAGTGACACCTGCCCTGGTCCCCCTCCCAGCCACACACACCACACACCGCACAGTGAAGAGGGCAGCAGCCTGGAAGTTTCCTTTGCCCTCTGGGATGATTTCCTGCAGTAGGCTGGTTCGCTGTCCCACCCCACAGGGAGAGGAAGAGGATGATGGACTTGATGATATAGAACAAAGTATTCATGTTTCTTTCAATGGGAGGGAATGTGTGAAAATTCTGAAATTAGTTGGAAATAAAATTTAATGATAGTGATGATGCTGATTTGACCAGCATGAAGGACAGTGTCGCCACCATGTCCTCAGTATCCACAATAACTGAACAAAGACCATTATGATGAGATTTATAAATGACTTTAAATCTTTCTATCAGAAATAAGCACTAGAGAACTATGCAAAGTACTAGAAAAGGTACTGTAACATCAAGAAGGTAAACTTGGAAGAATTGCAGTTTGCATGTTAGATTTTTTTTTTAATTTATTTATTTATTTTGAGATAGAATGTGCGGCTAAAAGGAAGAAAGAGAATCCCACGCAGGCTCCTTGCTGTCAGTGCAGACTCCAGGCTTGATCTCACAGAACTGAGCTGAAATCAAGAGTCCAATGCTTAACTGACTGAGCCACTCAGGCATGTTAGCTATAGAAGGGGCAAGATAGGCAGAGATAAAGCAGAGGGGAAGCAGATGTAGGAGAGAGGACCAGAGGATAGGGGGCAGGGCATTATCATTAGTCATGCATGCGTAAGGAAGAATGAGACCTGCGTTCAAGAGAACCTGGGGCATGGTACAACCAAAAGAGACTAGAAGAAGAGATGAGTGAGTATCAACTGAAATCAGGAAAGCAGAAACATATTTGATAACTGACTGGCTTAATGCCTAACACAGCTGAAACATATGGACATACGCCAGGTTTGACTCATCCAGCTTAAATTTGTAACTTCTGGACTCCGTTAGACAGGAAATTTTCTCACAGACCCTATATAGATACTGTTCTATGAATTCAGACACCCTACAGGCTGCATGTTCAGAAACCAGCCAGAGTGTATGAGGCCTGGGCTGCTAGAGAGATGGGCCTGACTTCACTCCCTGCCCACCACAGGATCTGAGCAAGGGACTCAACTTCTCAGCACCCCACAGTATTCCTACTTGGATGGGTCCTGTGAGGACCTAATACAAAAGCAATCACATGCATGGAGTGCTGAGCACTGGCCCCGCCACAGCACAGGCTGTGTGGACAACCGTCATACTCATGCCCACCCCAAGCTGCAGAAAGCTCCTCTCACACCAAGAGCCAGCAGAGGCTCTTCATGCTGCATTCCATAATTGCTCTAAAAGGACTTGCTTGTTTCTTAAACATCTCCAGAAACACATTTTCTGTTAATACAGCATCACCCATTAATATAATGCAGCATCTCCTTGCTGCCTCCCCTCCCTTACTGCCCGCCAGCCTCCTCCCACCCCACACATATCCTTCTAGGTTTCTTTTCTCTCAACACTTGATCCTCGGTCATCCCATCCATTGCCTTTAATGCCTGATTTATATTTGTAGTCTAGATTTGGGGCTCCAAACTTGAGTTTCTCCACTCAAATGTGTCACATAAGTCTTCAGCTGAGCATGTATGGAATGGAATATCCAAATGCACACTAATGAGCTGGTTAATGGATGGGGCTTGAATGCTCCAAAGGCCAGAATCCTGTTCTTTCCCATCAGTGGACCAAGCCCAATGAGTGGCATGTTAGTAACAGTCAATGGTATTTTGTCTCTGTAGAAATTGTCTGTGGATCTGTTTTCCCTACTCTTAGTCCTCAGGCCGCTTGAGGGCAGAGACCACATCCTGCTCATCTCCAGTTCCCTTGCAGAACCTCCCACAATGCCTTGCACAGAGCGAATATGTATTAACTGCCAATCAAGCTGAGTTTTTGCTGAATGTTTCCCACATTCAACAAATGTTCAGGCTCTCGTGCCACGAAGATGAAACAGTACAATGGCCCTAGTGTACTTCTCCCTTGATGCCATCAAGGCCCAAAAGCAGACACTGGAGGTATACTAGTGCCTTTCCTACAGCTCTTGCCTCTGCTCCTGTGGTTTGGCACCATTTGGCATCCTTCCTCAGTTCCAGGACCTTGGCAGGTGGATGAAACCATTGTAGGTACACCCAGAACTGGAAGATAAAGGGAACTAACTCATGGCACACAGCAGTCCTCATATGCAGCCATTCTCAGAACCCATCTTGTTCTTTTCTCTTCTTCTCTGCACTGGGGAAGCCTCCCCCACGCCCTGAACTTAGTGATCATCTCCTTCCACATCAATGCACAAGGGCATCTCTCATGTGCTCATCTAACTCTCATTAGGGGCCTCACAGGGATAGGAGCAGTCTTGGAGGCAGGCCCTGCTCACTGGGACCTTCATTGGCCCAGTAGAGCTGATAGGGTAAGCCTCACTGGGGAAGGGGATCAGGGAGAGGATTGGGGGTTAGGAGTGAAGTTGGGACAGGTTTTCCCTCCATGCTGCCAATGCTCAGACAGCCCCTGTGCCAGTGACTCAGTACCACTCCCTGACAATGGATTGCTCAGCATTTCTTCTCCCATCCCCACCTGCAGATATGACTGACATCTACTCCACACTCCCAACTCCTATGGGGTTCTGTGCAAGTTCAAGTTTCAAGGGGCTGCCTCTCACTCCACCTCCTTTTCCTATTCAGGGGGACATATCCAAATTGAGTGAATGAGTGACATTTGTGGAGGGACAATCTTGAATGCTGTCTGGTTATCACTTATATTTAAAAAGACAACTGGCAGCAGCCTTGCCAGAGCTATCTACACCGAGCAAATGACTTGTGTCCATGATGGGCTGATACAGAGGAAAAGAAGAAAAATACAGAGCATGGAAATGTTCAGAAAATAGTTATTGGCTATAATATAGAAGACGACA